TTTTTCTCGCCGGAGTACAAGAACCCTCCTCGGACTCCTCCGAGGCCGCGTATCTCTGGACAATATCATACACCGTCGACCTGGGGTATCCGAAGAACTTAATAATTTCGTTTGGCGTTCTTCCGGCGCGGACACCTTCAATAACCGTCGCTCTTCTATTATATTCCGGCGTCTTCCTGAACGACTCGGCCATTTTAAGGTTATTAATGTCTTATCGACGTCTCTAACCTGTAAGAATAATAATTGATTTAAATTTGTCTGGAAGGATGAAACCGTTAATTGTAGGAACGGCGGAACGGGAGCAAATAGCAAATGTATGATTTCAATGAATGCAAGAAATAAACGATAAGTATAATATATATAACACTATTTACTAAACCGCACTTACATTAACTATTGAGAAAAATACAAAGAAATATCACCGTGATAAACGATCGATCAAACTAATTGCTTGAGTTGAGCGCACACCGGTCAGAAGGAGCAAATCGGAAAAACTCTATTCTACACAAGGTACGGCGCTCTTCTGCCACATGGCTATAATCGGCGTAACCGGCTGGTCGCTTTAGCGCCGCCTGTTCGACTCTCGATCATTACAATCGATATTCTTACAATGTTTAGGTGAAAGAGGTCGCTATTAAATTAACAATTATAATAAATTTTCCTACAAACCTATCTTTAGGTCATATGGCACCTACTGCTGCATTCTAATATGATGGGAATGTCAAATTCAAATTTGTCCGGATTTAAGTGGCGGACCCTGTACATTTGACTAAAGCCTCTTGCACAATGGACGGAATAGCGATAGCGATAGAAATAACAAAAGTTTTAAAGAGTTTATATTTAAAAATAAAGGTAGAAACAGCGGAATCTAACATACATACACATGTATCAATGCAGATTAGAAAATCGGAATAAGCAATGGAGATAAAACTTCCAACGAGTTGGAATTCTGTGTTAAGCCCCTTGCACAATGGAAGGAATAGCGATAGCGATAGAAATAACACAGTTTTTAACACAGAATTTCAACTAGTCGGAAATTTTATCGCTATTACTTATTCCGATTTTCTGATCTGCATTGATACATGTGTATTTTTGTATGTTAGATTCCGCTGTTCCTACCTTTATTTTTAAATATAAACTCTTTAAAACTTTTGTTATTTCTATAGCTATCGCTATTCCGCAACTAGTCGGAAATTTTATCGCTATTACTTATTCCGATTTTCTGATCTGCATTGATACATGTGTATTTTTGTATGTTAGATTCCGCTGTTCCTACCTTTATTTTTAAATATAAACTCTTTAAAACTTTTGTTATTTCTATAGCTATCGCTATTCCGCAACTAGTCGGAAATTTTATCGCTATTACTTATTCCGATTTTCTGATCTGCATTGATACATGTGTATTTTTGTATGTTAGATTCCGCTGTTCCTACCTTTATTTTTAAATATAAACTCTTTAAAACTTTTGTTATTTCTATAGCTATCGCTATTCCGTCCATTGTGCAAGAGGCTTTAAAAACTATGTTATTTCTATCGCTATCGCTATTCCTTCCATTGTGCAAGGGGCTTAAAGGTACCTTTTCATACAGCAGCACGCTGCGGCAGCAAAACGTCACGTGACTCAAATTTTCTAGGACTGCTTCCACTAGGTATATTTGCTGCTCTCACCTAACCCTCATTCGATGCCATTCTCTGCGCAAAGTTCAAACAAACAAAAAGCAGCAAAACCGGGAAAATTTTATTGTTGATACTTATATTAGCAATAACTATATAATTCTATCAACAACAAAAAATGGTATCAAACGAGGTTTAGGTAAGAATAGCAAATGTACCTAGCGAAAGCAGTCCTAGAAAATTTTAGTCACGTGACCTTTTGCTGCTGTACGAAGAGGTATCTCGGCTGTGTTCCGTTTCACGCATATGCGCGCATTTATCTATAGTACGCGTTATGTATAGTATAGATAAATGCGCGCACATGCGTGAAACGGAACGCAGCTTATATTCATCGCCAGTACTAAAATATATGTTACTTTATAATATATGTCACGTGAACTATAGATTTTTAGCACTGACAGTAAATAAAACAGAACACAATCTTTATCTGTCTTTATCGTATCATATCAGCTGATTGAAAACGCGTGTGTACAACATATGTGTTACAAGTGTATATATATGAAAAAGTTATAAAAAAAAAAACGAAAATAAATAATTTATTTATTCAATGGATCCCGAGAATTTTACTGTGGAACTTATACATCAAGACATAGTCAAAAATCATCTTCAAGTCAATGCTTTAATACAAGTAAGTATATGTATATTATAAAGAAATATGTTTTTTACTGACATAAAATAATGTAAAGCAAAATATTTTACGATTTATATTCTATAAGAAAAAAAGACAGTCACTAAAAAATACTGATGCAACACAAATTCACCTGTTTGCTATAAAGGACATACTACAATGCAGTGGGCCGCTAGAAATGCTAGACGAACTAAATGCTGAGGGCAGAGCTAAAATAGCAAACTTAAAATTGTCTATAGAACGATTAGCATCAATTGCCGAAACCGAATCGAATAAAAAAAAAAGAACTGAATTGTTATCCTCTGTAAAAAGTTACAAAGAACAGCTTAATACTTCCTTGGCGGCTTTTCGCAAAGCCAATGTTGTCAGTGCGTGTGTCATTGATAAATTAGCAAGAGAAAATCTGCTTTCAATGCCCGAAGAGCAGCAGAACGCTCTTCGTAGACGGCGTGACAAACAGAGCTTAACAAACGCATCAAGCCAGACCACAGAAAAGTTGTTCAGCATCTCGAGACATCTGGCAGAAACAACTCAGAGAAGTGCCAATACTCTGGACACGCTATGTATGTACGCTATATATTTTATTCTTCACAATGTATTGTACTTATTAATTAACAATTTACGTTGTTTCAGTAACATTCTCGGATAAAGTCGGCAGCACCAAAGATGAGTTGGAACATCAACAGCAAGTTATAGTGCAGTCGGGAAAACTCTTAGGAAAATATGGAAGACGAGAAGTTACGGATAAAGTGTTGATTGCTCTGGCGCTTATCTTTTTTCTTGTTGTGGTTGCTTATATTCTTCAAAAAAGACTATTCTGAGTATACATAATTTAAGCGTTTAGAGTATCAAGTAATTGTAAATGTGATATAAGAAGTTTTATATATATATATCATATAAAATAATGTGATATATATATATATATATATATATCACATTATTTGAGATATACATATATATATATATATATATATATATATATATATATATATATATAT